ATAACATGAGCTCCTCCGTGCTTCGGAAGGCACGTTAAGCCGTTGGTCCCGGCTGCATCTGCAGTCGTTAGCACCCACCAATCCGCACTGGGCCCGCGTGGTGGGTCATGGCCCAATCTCCCTATTCCATCCATAGGGAAGGCCTGTGCCCCAGCAGTGGGGACATTAATAGGCTGATGATGATGACAACAAAATACGCCGTTGGTCTCGGGTCGCTAGCTGCTTTAGCTCACGAGATACGAAATATCTGGTGTCCTGGGGTCGGGGGTTGGTCATACCCCGATAAGGGTTGTGATTATGATGTACGCAGCATGCCTATCTTATAGCAACAAAATACGCCGTTTATCTCGTGCCGCTAGCTGTTTTAATTCACAAGATACGAAAAATCTCAGATATTTAAGAATAAGGGTAGTTAGCCCCCCATGAAGGGCTTATATTTTTTCATATCTAACCAGCTTATCTTACAGCAACAAAATAGCAACAAAATATGCCGTTCATCTGATATCTCTAACTGCTTTTGCCCCGAGATATCGTTGTGGTTTCGCTAGCGTAATATTACGCTAGTGTAACAGGCGTTTTTCGGAGAAATCTTGGAGCAACAAAATCAATCCTTGCGGCACAAAATAGCAACAAATTAGCAACAAAAAACTATATACCTTAGGAATTGGACTTATGAAATTGTTACGCTAGGATATACCTTGTAACCGATTTCTTTCGTCAATTTAACATCATCGCCGCGATTAATAATTTTAATGACGAAACAAAGAGAATTGTGTTGTCGGCATATTTGAGAGGCCCCGCATTGTTATTTTATGAAAAAAATAATGAGTTTTGTGAGAATTTTCAGATTTTAGAAAAGAAAATACGTGAGGAATTTCCATCATCGATAAATGCATTGGAAAAAAATTTCTCACGAAGACAAGGCTTGTCAGAAGAGCCATTGGCCTATTTTTATATATTGGACGAGCTGGCCACAAAAGCGGGAGCTGTCATCGATGACAAATGCTTCATTAGACAGTTCTTAAAAAATAAATACAAAAAATCTTTTCGCATTTCAGTTATATAGTGATAAAACACATTTAAAATCAGTTTTACGACAAGCGCAGGACATTTTCACGAAACACGGCACGAAAGTGCCGAAATTTGTTGGAATCTGCCGATCCAACCATCGTTTGCTCACTTTGAAACGTCGAAAATTTCATGCCTAACGAGGAATAAAGAAGAACCGGAGAAGGAAATCAACCTTATTTCCTCCCAAAGTGTCCCTTCTCATCCCATTGTCCCTCCCGAACATATGATTTTGTTTTGTTTTTGTTCACACTTTTTGTTTCAGCAACATGAACAAAAAGAAACAAAAATCAAAGAAGAAGCAAATGAAGAAATTTTTTTATGAAGAAAATATAATGACGATGGCTGATGAAGAAGTTCACCATTCACAGCCGTTACAAAACAGCAATCAGCATACAAGTGAGTCCAAACCATTAATTAATATAACGTGTCGTGATAAGGAGTTTGTAGGGCTCATTGATAGTGGTGCTGCAGTGTCTGTGGTGTCGAAGGACACAGTAAATCAAATTCATCAACAAATTGATGAAAGCGATACGAAGTTGAAAGCTGTCGATGGTAAAGAATTGTCTGTTTTAGGGAAAGTTAACCTTAAATTATTAATGAATGCGTTATTCATTCACGATTTTCTTGTGGTAGAAAATATTAGTCATAACCTCATCTTAGGACAAGATTTCTTACTACGAAATAATGCAATAATAGACTTTCATAACGAACAATTAATAATGAAGCATATTAAGTGTAAATTTAAAAGACAATATACACAAAAGAATAATGAAAGGAATAGTGATAATTCGGTGTATGATGAAAATTTATATTATACCGAATAGGTTGATAATTACTATAATAATAATGTGTTACTAATGAGATTTTATTTCAGTTTATTGTTTATATGAATGTTTTAAAGCAATGGTGGTATGTAAATAAGGTTCAATACAAAAGTCATTTTAGAATTTTATTTCGAGAGCATAATAAATATAAGTTATAACCATTTTAATAGGAAATTTGCTTATTATGATAGATTAAAAGATGTAGTTTCATTAAAGTATTTTGATTATTTGTTAACTTTAGTTTAATTTGTTGAGTAGGTGGATTATTGATGTCCTAATAACCATTAGACTGATAGGTGACAGGTTCGATTCTCTGTTCAACTTGGAATTATTCAATTGACTTTGAATATGATCATTGATAGGATTAATTTAGCATTAGGATAGAATATGGTTAATAATGTATAATACGATAATATAGGTCCATAAAGAAAATCCCCTTATTATAAAAAAAGGAAACGTGTTCGCTTCCCTGTAAGATAAAAAAAAATGAATAATAATGTTATACTTTGAAAAATTACCCAGCTATGGAAAAGATGGTGTAAAGATTTATCATAAATGTTTTCTTGAATATTAACTTACCCGACTGAAGAAAAATGGTGTAAAGAATTTTACTAATATTTTCTTGATTGTTCTATGTACTACCACATGATGCGGACTTCCCGAGAGAGAGCAGGCTGGCGCTCATGCAGACGTCAGCGATACTGACGATAGTCCACCTTGAAAATGATGAAGACACCCTCTACTTCGAATTCGCGTCGTTTTCGTTTCAATTTGGTCGCGTCGCGTTCGTCAAAATCGTCACTTGTAGTAGATTGACTTGGGAGTATGGAACCCTTAGTATTCCATGGGAATTGGGTTATCTTGTTTGATGCTAGATGTCCTTACCCAAAATTTCTATTACGTTTGCGCATCATGGGCGTCTAATAAAGTACAAGACAATAAAGTGGTGGACCACGTCTGTATCTTTATTAAAGATGTACGAAAGTAAATATTAATTATTAATTCTTTTAGTTTCTCAAATCCAGTTAGTATTTACGAATCTTAGGCAATAGTTCTAATTTCGTTTCGTATATCTATTTAGTATGGGAAGTAATGAAGTTTCAAAATATAGATTTTCTTGTTATTTAATGGTTTAATAAATAGGATAGGGTAAAGTTTTGCTGATAGATGGGATAAAATAAAAATAGCTTGGGTAATTTAAGGAATAGCTAGGAATAGTTTTGTTTTTTGTTTTTGCCGACTGATGTCGATGTTAAGTAAAGTTAAGGTTAGGGGGGAGATGTACGAGGGATTTTGTTAAGGTTTTGCTCCCGTAGTCTTTGCAATAAAACTTTGTAAACTGTTAGGGTTCTTTTCCCGTAAAGCTTTTTTTGCAAGTTTTGCAAAGTTATTGTGAGGGCTAGTCTGTAGTAAAGGCCACCTCCCAGTTGTATTGATGTCCTTAAGTAGGTAGGGATTTTTAGATAGGACTGTCGAACCCTCTCGATGTAGTTGGTAGGAAAAAAAAAATTTGTTCGGTCATCTAGTATGACAAAACAATTTTTTTTAGCGGTGCCGGAGGGATGTAACGTCCGTTACGTTACAGCCTCCTTGTTTAGGTAAACTCTTGGCTTACGGCTGACAGTTATATTAAAAAGTTAATGTAATGGTTTTCATATTTGAAATAAGGAATCGTCAATCTTTTGATAGAAGGTTCCACATAGCAGATGAACTTCAGGCACCAAACCTTTCGTAGTTAGATTAAAAAAACTTGTATTCGCCTGAAATCTAATAAATCCAATCTAAAATCAAGTTTCTTTTAAATAAATCGCTACGTCCCTAGGTTCTATCCATTCAGGCTAGAACTCCGCAGTACCAAGGTATTAGATAGATGCGCTGGATTGAGAATTTACGATGCGAGAAATTTTCAAGGATGATTCACTTTAGACCGGGTCGGTCGTAGCAGAGTTAACTAATCATCATCATCAGCCTATTAATATCCCCATTGCTGGGGCACAGGCCTTCTCTATAGATGGAATAGGGAAATTGGGCCATGAACCACCACGCTGGCCCAGTGCGCGTTGGCGGGTGCTAACCACTGCAGATGAAGCCGGAGGAACTCGAGGTAGAAGATTTTTGGTTACCCATCCAATGACCGACCACTGCGAAAGTTGCTTAACTTCAACGATCGCAGCCGAACGCGCTAACCATCTGCGCCATCGAGCTCCTCTAGTTAACTAATACTAAATAATATATTTTACATGGATTATGGACACATTCACGCTATTCCGGTAATCGACTGACAACCGAGCAACAAATGAAACAACGCTCGGAAAAAAGTTGGTCCCGCCTCGGCTCGGCCACGGTCCGTTGCATGAATACAGGGCCGGCACCGCGCCGGGCAATCGTAGTGATACCTCAGACAAAACAAAAAACGTTTTTGCTCGGACGAGTACACTTACCTTATTTACTTTATCTGAATGAATAAACTGCATCACGGCACAACGATACCTACCTAATTGCTCGGTCGAGGCACGTCTTTGTAAATAATAGGTACGGGATTGGCTCGGTGACCGTGCTACGGCTGAAGCTCGGCTCGGACTCGACACGGTCTATCGTCTCTGATCATCCTTAGTAGATTTGTTCGGTACCAAAATCTAGTTGGTTCCTATATTTAAATTTAATTTTAAAAGTGGTGGCTTTCCGCATCCTTTTGCCAAAAAAATACTTAGGCATGCTCTAAGAAAAATATGATTCCTAAAGTTCTCCCAGCAGATTTAATTTCTCCAAGTTCATATTTTTCCCCAAAATAAGGATAAACACTCCTAATCTAGAAACCCTAAGTACCATAGAGTAGGCAAGTATTCATTCTATAATATTGATTCATAATTTTTCATACAATAATAACAAACTTATGTTATGTTTCCATATTTCAAAGATGATGAAAATCAACAAAGAATTACTGAAATAAGTAAAAATCACTGAATTATAAGTATTTATTGCTATTTTGAATTTGCAATGCTTTTACATTATCTGTAAATTCAATTTAGATGCTCGTTTACAGCTGTCAACTATGTTCTTAATTTAGTTAGGTAGTTCGCAATTTCAGAATACCAATTCTCTAAACCTAAACTTAAAATTAGAGAGCTTTAGTTTAGGTTTAGAGAATGTAACGCTAGAATCGGTCCCATTGACTGTGGCTAAACGCACAAGTCGTGCAAAGCCAACAAAAAAAAGAAAATCGACTGACACCTTTTTCCTATTGGTCGATCACTAACGTCGTGACGTCGTGTAGGTTGAAGAACTCTGTCTGTGGGTTGATTACGTTCGAGGGGTGTTCACTTTGGTGTTCACCTCTCTGTCATGCTCATGCTGCGCTGGTAAAGTCAAAATATCCGTAAAAATGTTGTCCAACAAACGTTTAGTAGCAATTTGTGCAATAGTATTTTGCTGTAATGTGGCTATGTTAGTGCTATTCGTGAAATACAATGCCCATGAAAAATGTTTTGTAACAATCGACGAGGACCAGATTGTAACTACTGTGATACCTGACAACTTTCTCAGCTTCGGAATCGATACATCGGAGGTGGAGAATTTTGATAAAGTGAATTTTCTGAATAAAAAGTTTATGGATATGGCGGCCGCTTTATCCCCTGCACGGATGCGGCTCGGCGGCACGATGTCTGACCGGCTCATCTTCAGCGAAGAGCCCATCTCTGCGTTAAGTTGCGAACACTGCTCTGACACCAACCACACCCACCACGTATGTCCCGCTCTGAGAAAACTTTGTAAGCACAAATTCTTACCATTCTTCCTGCTAACCGGTAACAAATTTAAAGAAATTAACACTTTCTGCCAACATACTAATATCAAACTAATGTTCACATTAAATGTGCTACTCCGTGACCACAATGCGTGGGACGACAAGAATGCTCGCGATTTGATAAAATTCGCCAGTCAGAATAACTTCGACATTGACTGGCAGCTAGGCAATGAACCTAATTCTTTCCCACACGTCTACAACACGAGCGTCAGCCCACGAAAATTAGCTCGCGACTTCAAAAAACTGCGTAAGATATTAAATGAAACGGGATATAATAACTCGCTAATTGTGGGACCTGATACCACTCGCCCTCAACCACATCGTCCAGAATGCCTTAAATATATGGTAGAATTTTTAGGAAACGGTTCTCATACCATAGATGTGAGATCCTGGCATCAGTATTATTTAAATAGTAGAACGGCCAAGCTGGAAGATTTTTGGAATCCTGATACATTTAATTTATTGGAAAGCCAAATCAAAACTATGAGACAACATACTGCTAATTACGCCCACATACCCATGTGGCTATCTGAGACTAGCAGTTCATATGGTGGAGGGGCTCCAGGGTTATCTAATTCTTATGCAGCTACCCCATTGTGGTTGGATAAACTTGGCCTATCTGCTAAATACAACATAACTACTGTAGTTCGACAAAGCTTCTATGGAGGTAATTATAGTTTGATTGACAGTAACTTTGAACCCCTACCTGATTGGTGGTTGAGTCTACTGTTTAAAAGGCTTGTAGGAGGAAAGGTTTTGCAGATACATTGTGAATGCTCTCCAAACCAAAGAATGTATGCTCATTGTGCCAACAGAAAATACACAAATGACACAACTGCAGTCACTGTTTATGCTGTAAACTTAGAAATGGCAAAAGCGAGGTTCCTTTTGAATGGCACAGCTCTGCATGGTGATGATTTATCTATTGATGAATATATATTGAGTGCTCCTTCAAACAATAGGAGAACCAAGACTGTATTGTTGAATGGCTGGCCATTGTACTATGAATTAGGAATGCCAGAGATGCCCCCACGTCTTATACAGTATGGTAACCATATTTCAATGCCCCCATACTCAATTGGATTTTGGGTGATCAAAAACACTTCGATTAAAATCTGCAAATAAAGTGATATGTAAATTTAAGTTTCTGCATTAATGACCCAGCAACAGAGCAATCCTTCTTTAGCATTGATGTTGCTTGCAAATTTTATGGTTCTTAACAAATTGTACCTATTACCTGTGTACCTTTAGTTATATTAAATAATTATTATTCTTAATATTGTTTTGTGAAAGATCTTATGGTAATTGATCTCTTATTTGTACATCTACTTACATTCCAATGACTTCAAAGATATTGAAAAGAATATTTAAATGTGTTGCCAATTCCGGTGATCCTTAAGGTAAATTGGGCATCATGCTAATACTGGAGCTGATGACAATATTTTTACATAGTTTTATAGCTTAACTAACATTAATTGAAAACCTAATATAATGTATATGTTTTTAATATTTACATTTTTATACTTATGACAAAGGTGCCAACAATGCTTATTAAAATATATAATAAAATAGGGTATATTAAGAGGAAAATGCAAGATTTGGTCCAGCCAAAAGAGGAAAAATAATAGATGGTCCATTTTTATACTTATATTTTGAAGCATTTCTCAGTTATGTATTAAAATGTTATAGGTATTTTCTATGTATAAATCCAAAAAGTTTTAATAACAATTAATTTTGTGAATGCATACATGTTGATTGTGCATATATAGATATACCTACATACATGTTTTCAATATAGTATATTTATGCATGAACATGTAATTGCATTTGTTTATGTCTTATGCATTCCTTAATCAATTGATTGTCTTGCTAACATGTCAAGGATGTTGGACTATTGATATTGAACTTTCTGTGAGTGATTAAGAGTTAATTGTACATGCTTTACTGAACATGTAACTATGTTTCTAGGGTTAACATATCTTAATTGTGTACAAAATATAATCTCATTGATACTAATACTGTTGAAAAGAGCCTTTGCACAAGTGTGCCAGAGTCTACATAGAATCTATCAAGGTTATGTTGCAGTTAGTATGATATTGCAATGTTTATATATATATATATAATATTATTAAAAATATGACTTCTCAACTTTGTTGCATTTACTTTAAATCAGTCATCAAATTTTATAAACAGACACATTTAAATTACAATAAAAATGAATGTTGATAAATTTTGCAAAGTACTTACTGTAGCTTAGGTACATGATTACTTTTAATTTAATATTTCAAATGTCAAGCACCTAATTGAGTAAAATGTTAGGAAAAATATAATAAATTAGGTATTGCCACTAGATATTTGCCTATTATTCAAATTATAAAACTTATATTTACATACATCAAATATTTTTACACAAGAACTTCAAATGTGTTCATATTATATATGTATTAAGGCTTCATATATACGAGCGGCTTGCAGCCAACAGCGTCGCAACTGCAACCGTCGCAACCTTTCGGCGGCAGCCGCCGACCTACGCCGTCGACGTGGCTACTTAGTACGCCGGCGAAAGGTTTTGATGTGCTGTGCTGCCGTCGCCTGTGAGCCGCTGGTATATATGAAGCCTATTACCGCAATTATATTTAAAACGCGCATAGTACTTGATGCTGCCAAAATATTATTTTAATTAGTGACGATTCTTTAAAAAGTGACTTGAATATGATTTTTTGATCTTTTGTCAATGATCTATATTAATATCTTTAGTTGATTAATAGGGGTAGTAATTTATTAATCTTTTATCATTTACATTTTCTTCTTTCTACAAAGAATTTCATTCAAATGACCTTGCTATATATAACATATGGTGTAGGTAAGTAATAAATTGTTCATTACATTATGTACACATGTGTTGGAAACATTAGTACTAATCACAATGTCAACTTAGATTAAGTGCGCACTGCGATTAAAAGCAAGAATTTTGAAACCGCTGAAAAATGTGACTTACCTACAGAGCATGCAAGAAAAGCGTTTTCTATGAGGACTGATTTTCAAAACGTTACTTTATTTGTAGCAATCAATTACAAAGGAATATCGAAGTAAAAGCGCGCAATTTTTTGTGTCAGTTAATGCATTCACTTCTTTGAAATCCATGGAAGTAGGTACTGAAACGCAAGCAGTAGTGTGTGAACATCATAGTGAGTGGTTTTACAATGTTTTGCGTTTTACGCTACCCTAAAATCGCCTATAATCGCAGTCCGTGCTGAGCCTTAGTGCGCTAAATAATAAGTGTAAGAGGCTTTTGTATTTGCTTAAATTTTAAGCACTGCCATTATGATTAATAATACCTGTTGGAATTAAGGATAATATTGCTAATACCACTAAACTTCAGTAAACAAGTTTAATGAAAATCAGCATAAATACAGTATTTAAATTACAAAAGGCGTGCATGTTTGTATTTCTCTATTACCTTGTACTTTTATTATATTCGGTTTCATATATAGTTTTCTATTGTAGAACATGTGGAAAACACACAAAACAATGTTGACCATTATCTCTCGACATAATGTTAATTGTTTACAATGATGTGGAAACTTCGTGCGCGAGAGATTCCCGTAATTATAACTACGACAGTAGTCAGAAATGTCAATTAAATTTAATGCTTGTCTATCGAAAACAAAATGTGTCATTGAAATACGTGTTTGCTAAGCGTTCGATAGTTTTCAAGTTCAAGTTATAACCGCGACTAAGCTAAGCTCTCTCAAAAACGGCATATTTGTATACAGATCAAGCGGATCTGTATAAATACTTTGGGATCATATCCCAAAGTGGACGAACATGATGATTATAATAATGAGTAATGCCTAGGCTTTGGTATTATTTTATTTGTTACCTTAAAAGCATCGTAATAAAAAAACATAAACTATCTTTAAAATTCTTTGACTTGTGATTCAAATAAATCAAAACTTTTGACAATATTCTAATTATATTATTCTAGTTTAGTTGTCTTCTAACTATAAATAATCCACAGACCTAGCTGTAAGTAGAAGATGCATGTGAAATTGCATGCAATCCGTGTGTCATACAACGTTATGCCTTTATTGAGTACTCACGAGATCAAGCATGGACCACGGTCAGCTGTTTCATTCTACCGTTTTTACAACGTATTAAGGCACAATTTGACATAATTTAGGAATTTTGTCGTCCGATATCGAGAACGCTGACGCGAAAAAGTAGCGTTAAAGGTTTTCCCGTGCATGCGTGGCATGGTTTTGAATACACGAAGTACATACACTAACGTTATTTACACGAACTATGTATAATAAATATCATTTTTTTATAAATTTATTGTCGCACCCATACTTATTACATAATTTTCATTTAAAGGTTAGAATACGTTTGCACTAGGAACCTTTCAATAACCAGGAACTTATCTGTTTTCAATGCAATAGAATGTTTTATAGATAACATTGAATAGTAGTTTGAACTTCGAATTTTCCAAAATCGTAAAAATAACAGAAACTTTTTGATTTCTTGACGTTAAGAAAACACTTAGTTAAACCAGTATGGGTACGTATGCAATGGTTGAATAAAACTAGTCCCCGCAATCTGTACACTTAGTTTTTTTAAACTATGCAACGGATTTCAATGAAATTTTGAGAAATATTCAAAAAGAAGGTATAATACAAGCCCGAGTAAAAAACTATAGTCTACCGAAGCGAAGCGAGGGCGGGTCACTTGTTATAAAATAAACCTACATTAGTAACTTGTGAAATGGGTTTAAAGCTATATATGCTATACCTAATTTTAGATATAAATTTGTAGATTATGTCGACAGTCAAGTTCAATAACGTGATAATAATAACTTAGATTTTATTGCAATGATTAAATATGTGAAATAAAAATAACATCACCTTTTACTTTTTAAAGTAACTGTCGCAATTATTCCCGAATGTGGTGTTATATTATCATGTATTGTTATTAAACTTGACCTGTGCCTACCGTTATCTATATGACTAAGAGGCTACCTATTTACTTATAGCTTGTAAGTTAAATTTAAACTGTAGCTTTTTTATAGCAGATTTTGATAATATTTTACTACATTTGCGAGAAAAAATAAAGGGATGGTTATATATAGCGCCTGTTCCGTTTATCCTTATCGAGTTTCCCAAAACATACATCAATCAATAAATCACAAGTCAATGCTGTAATTAACCAAGCTAACTATAAAATATTTTAACCCAACAAGCTCCATTAAATACAGGTAATTACAATACAATTAAAGTATTCACTAATAGAGTCTGCACCTGATAATATGTATGCCCCCTTTATTTGTGCTCGACAAAAAATATATTTATAAATGTTTTGTGTCATGTAATGTTGTGAATACTAGGTGCATAAACGTAAGACTGATTAGAAATACACTGTTTATTTTTGACGTGACAACGTCTTAAATTAGGTTGCGGCTGGGAGTCACTTATGAAAAAGTGTAACGCTCGGTAACGTTACGATGAGTCTCTCGTGTTAAGTTTAAGTTTACATGTACAATGTTTTAGTAAACAAAATATATTTCTATAGTTAAAATTTGTGCAATTCTTATTTTCATTCAATTCCTTGTTCCTATTGTGCAATTTAATTATATTCATATCAATAAATATTCTACCGAGAAAAAGACGTTGTCACGTAAAATCTTCGCCCGTAAAACCGACTTTACAGGCAACCATTTTTTCAAATGTGCTTATTGAGTTTCAGGTTGTATCGTTTTGTTCACTTAATCAGGCAATTGTAAAGTTACATCTATTTATTTAAAGTTTGATGAAATAGAAAGTGTTAAAAGCTCACATTGTTTTTTTTATGAACATGCACCCTCGCTCGCTGAAACCTTTTGCACATCAATTTGTTAGAAATGTCTAACAAGTCTTAAGACTATTCTCAAGTCCTTTTACTTTCGGTCAGTTTCAATAACCAATTTCCAATCAGAGAAAGATCTTTGAACTTAGTTGCCAGGATATTTTTGTGATTTCGTCTTCGATTAACAATTCTATAGATAACGGGGTCAGTCCGAAAATTCCGCCTCGGTAACTATAGCTTGACTTGAGGCGTGAGATCTTATTTTAAATTAGTTCGGTTAATACAAAACTATGTAACTCGCTGGCCAAAAATATTTTATTTTGTGGGTCATAAGGTTGATTTCACATTATCCTTTTTTCGCCTTTATCTTCTTTTTCAAGAATCTGATATAATTTATAAAAGGAACAAAAGTTTCTTTTATTAGTCTCTTTCCTGACATTTGTCCCGCCTAAAACCCAGATCTGTGGTGGATGGGGTGACCTCGTAAAAGATACTGAAATCCATTTCGTATCAATATTATGTTTGGTACAATATCATAGCTGTAAGACACTATGTAACTGACGTGTAAATATCTAGTCTAGTCTTTTATATTAAATTCTCGTGTCACAATGTTAGTTACCATACTCCTCCGAAACGACTTGACCGATTTTTATGAAATTTCATATGCATATTCCGTGGTTCTAAGAATCGGCTACTATCTATTTTTCATATAAGTGATAATGGTTGTCCATCTGTTCATCAGTCGGGACCCATTAGATATTCAAGAATACATAATATTTTTCAACAGTGGGTCCCGACTGCAAAGTAGCTTTGTTCCTTATTAACAGAATAATAGACTACTGGACTTGTTTTTTTCTTTTCAGTTTTTATTTGAAGTATAATTAACAGTCGGGTTTTTTGATTTTTTAAATTTACCTTTTTTATTTCACACTTTTTAGTTAGTTAGTATTTTAAGACGGTATATACCGTAGTCTTGTTACTTCAGTAAGGGAATTAATATCGCGGGAATTATTAAGTACCTTGCGTCGGTCTAAAAGATTGATTTATTAAGACATATAAAGACTTTACCAGCGGGGTCAAGGCTACAGATGGGCCTCAATTTTCGCAAAAATGTGTAAAGTTAAATCAAGTCGTTACATAAATATCTCTAATGTATGTAAATTTTATAGTAAACTAGCACATACTCAAAAAGTCATCTTTTGTTTATGTTTTTTTTAATAGTTTAGCAGTAAATATAAAATTCATTTACTTTTATTCGTCGACTATTTAAAATTGGCAGTGGCTGCA